AATCCCGTGACATGAAGAAACAAGTGCACATAAAATGACATAATGAATTGTTTCTCTAAGAAGAAAAAGAAATCAAATGTATTTCTTAGTTTTGTAACTAAAGTGACATATACTATACACACTTATAAACCCTTCTCTTGCCAATGTCTTTTGCCTAGCCCAACCATCTTGAAAACCTCCTAGCTACTTTCAACAATTCGCATCACTCAGATATTTGATGACCACAACAATATTTTATTCTTCGAGCGAGCCCCCGTTTCTTACTTCTTCTGTCCCATAATACATGACATATAGTCAACATTGCACACATGTCAATGCACTGGTTTGACTTTATTTTTATATAATTAGATATTAATGAAAATTATTTTAAAAATTATATTATGAAACTTTATATTTATACCTATCTAACAACATATTTTATGATAAAATATGTTTTTATTATGTTAGTAAAAAATTATGGTCAAAGTTAATGCATGAATAGTGAAAAAAGTCCAACGTCTCATGTATTATGGGACAAAGGAAGTAATTGAGAAACATGGGATGTTTCTTTATTGACATAAATATAAATAAGATCATAAGAGTACATTTATCAACGCTTAATATTTTTTGCTCAATTAACACTGTTAACTTTCCATCTACCTCCTCTCTTCTTCTTTTGCCTTTTCCCACAACAAACTCCATTGAAGGAGTTTGATTTTTCTTTTTATATTTTATTTTCGACACCTTTCATCTCCACTAACATGTCCACCACTATTTCTGGCGATTTCGCCGCCAAATCAAACGAAAACCCTAAGAACAAAAAAATAAAGGGCATCGTCAATCCTAAAGGGTAAAGGTGTTATGTTTCTCCATTGAAGAAGCCCTTGAGCTTCTAAAATCTCTATTGAACCTTTTGAAATCTCCATTCAAGAGCTCTTCAAATTTCAATCGAATTCACGAAGTTAGCAAATTGTTAACTTCTGTTTATGGCTGAAAATACAAATTTACCCCCCACATACCTACTCAAAATGATAACAATGTCTCATTGAGAAACAAACCGATATCTTTTCTCATGTTGAGTTACTTGTATTTTCTCCTATTTTTCTTCGACTTTAATGGGTATGCAATTTCTCTTCTCTTATATTTTGTCTTAACCACATGCACATTCTAAAAATAAAATTCAATTCCCATACACCTTCAAACTCAAGTTCCCAGTCTCATCTTCCTACTTCTTTATAACAATATATACCATTCTTTTCTTACTTTAATGGGTATTCAATTGCTTATTTTGGAACTACATTATGAGATGAATCAAATAAGATCTCACATATTTATATTTTTTCTAATCTATTTTGGAATTAAAGTATGTGATAATTCAAGACGTACTTTACAATAGAAAGTGTTTGTGATTTTATGCAACACCTTACTTCAATGACAAATTAAAGAAGATGCTTTGATACAATAATAATTACATTCAATAATATTTTAGATGTTTTGAAGAAAATGAAACATTTAAACTATACAAAATTCATGTGAGAGAGCTTGTTGTTGTTTTTTTTTTTTCTCTATCTAAATGTAAAATGGTGTTTTTTTTTTTCATGTGAAATAATCTTTATATGGATGACAACACTTGTATACAACCTATTGTTTTATTCCGTATCATTTGCTTCTAAGACCTTTAGTCTCTATATATCAAATGGTCTTTGTACCCTTATAACTTTAATTCTATATTGTTTAAACTTGGAAAAAAAAAAATCATTTCACATGAGTTTCGTGAGAAGTTTATATGGTTTTCCTCACTTTTTATCTGCTTTCTTAACTTATATGTCTTTCATCATACATCAAATTAGCAATATTTCTAGATTGAACCAAATAATTTAAAAAAAAAAAAAAAAAAAAAAAAAAACTAGTTCATATTCAACAATCATGAAATAACTCAAGGAAACTTGTTTATGAAAATTGGTATACCAAATTAGAAAATGTAATTTGTTTCCAACTTGCTTAAACCTTATTGTACTTGTGGGATTGTGGCGACTAGCAAGTGATTGTAACCTAGTAGGGATACACAAAAAGTAGTGAATATGATACCAACCATAAAAGTAGAAGGTTTCCCATCCATAAATAATTTCATTTTTAAAATCTTAAAGAAGATGATGATGTCAGCACAAGTACCGTATCATGGGTACCAAAGGCCAGCCAACTACCACCTTCAAATTCCTTAATGACCTCACCAATCTTTAATATATACACTAATTATAGTTTACTACTTGTACTTTATTAGTATTCATAGTACTTGTCTAAGAAACTTATGACCAAATGACTCTTTTTTAATTGTATTTTCATTGTTTTGTAGCCTAGGAAACTAAGAATTAATTACGGAGTATTCAATAAGATGTGTTATTATCCTACGAGATGAGGTTGTGCTACTTCTCCTGAGCTAAAATAGTTGACACATACTCTTTTTTGACTGTTTAAAATAATTAACACATTACAATATTATAAATGGCAAGGATGATTGTTATAAAACTATATTCACTGTACCATACTTATCATGATCCACTAGCTTTTCTCATTCTCACATTTTCCATTTTTAAACTACGTATCTAATAAAATATGTCAAATATTTCAAAACAGATAAAGTATTACCTGAATTTGAGTAATAATCTTTGTAAATAATTACAACACTTCGTATTATCTATAGATGCGAGTGTGATTAAACATCTTGACATCACATCCAAAATTAAAATATCTCATGTGCAATTACATTTTACAAATTGTACCCAATTTGCCTAATGATAGAAAGAATACAATTGCACTTAAATCACTTTCCAAATTATTTAGTGATTGGCTAATTGTAGCCATCAACTTGACCATGGCAAAGAAGTAGGGCACTTGGACAGGTAAAGTTTTTGGATAATTCTGACAGCAGCAAATTATTAATTTGACTAATTAACTTGCAAGTGGAAGCGTGAAAAATTGGAAAGTGGCTAAAGTCCAAAAAAGAGGGAGATGTTAAAGAGTAATAGAGAATCAATCAAGGTTTTATAATTGACAGATTAATTGAATAATAAACAGCATAATCCTGATCATGATACATTATTGCGTTACTAAGTCATTCACCTAAGGGTTAACGGCTATCTCACTGCTTTTTACCATCACCGTTTCTAAATAAATCACAGTCTGACATTTTGTATTATTTATATATAACGGAGTAATTTTTACAGCGGCAATTTTCTCATGTATTCGTATAATGTAAATACTGTCATACAGATATCAACTTAAAATTTTATAGTAGCAATCCTTTACTAATATTTAATTACTACACACATAAATTAATGGTCAAACGTATATGTTAGTAATTGTATCAAGTTTAATTGTGTTAACTTTTTTTTTTTTGAACGAAAGGTAAAAGAGGCAAAGAGTCTATGTCTAATGTCAGTGTTATTCGAACAACAGGATTCATGTCATCACATATATTTCCAAGTGCTCAACTTTAGTCACTCAACTATTGTTTGAAAGATTTTCACAATCCAAAATAAAGTGTGGAAATATCAATCAATTAATAACATAATACTATAACAGATATCAGGAATGACCCATGTCACTTTTTGGTGGTGTTTTTCCCTCCAAAGCCCCCCTCTCTTTTTGGCAAAAAATATTTTATTTTTGGAATATTTGTATAATACAACTATAATAATATTATTCCAAATCTTATATATTATCTTTACATAAAATGTATTTCTATTTATTTCGTGTTCTTAATTTTTTCATACACATTTACCTAAAATATTATTCTAACTCTTTCTAAATTATAAAAAAAGTGAGCCACTGGTTTAGATACAAGATACAATCATTACCGTCCGGACATCTTTTAGACGGAATATTATTGAATTTTGCCTAAAAAGTAATAATAAAATTGATTCATATAATTGATATTAAAGAAATTACATTAAAACATCACTTTAATTTATTTATTTTTTAAAATACCTCTAATATTTTGTTTCTTAGACAAATGAAGTATTAGATATGAGTATAAAATAAATGTTGTGTTCGACAGCTATATCATATGTCTAATTCTAGAAAAATGTGAAATATCAATCAATTTTTTGTTATTACGTAATTAAATAAATTAATATCTTAGTAAATACAAAAAAAATTATTACCTTTTGTTGAAAAATAAAAAAATTATTACCTTTTGTTGAAATATTTGATTGAGATAATAAATTTATTACTTCGACATTATAAATAAGTTGCATAGCAAAAGTTACGTCGAACGTAATGACAAGTGACATCTTCTTGTGTATTATTTTTTTTCGATAAAAAGCTATCATCTACAAATAAACTTTTAAGGCAATAAACAAACAAACAATAATTATAGGATAGCTTCAAACACAATTTTATATAATAACAAAGAGCGTCGATATTATGTTGAGCATCAATTAATAAACAGAAAATGTATTATTAATAATATAGGTTAGTGTTGCCTAATTGTGGATTATTATTGCCTTTAATGGTTCGAGTAGTATTTATTTCCATTAAAATTATTTTATTGGATATAAAGGTGATATATTTTTGTAATTTATATATTTACATGTATGTTGTGCTAATAGTGTTACTATAGATTTTATTCTGTTGTTTGATTAATATTTTCATGTTTATTAAAGGACATTTATAAAAAAGTCTTTAGTCATATAGTCACTAGATTGTACAATGTTATTGTATTGGGAATAATATGCATCATTAATGTAATATAATGCATACTACTGTTAAATATTTTCAACACAACTAATCAACCATACATTTTTTTTTTCTCAATTGTAATTTTAATAATTTTTTCTTATTATTATTTTTCTATATGCATTGCATTTGTTTATTGTATATGAGTTACCTCATTTTTATATTATATCACAATTAATTATGGCAAAAAGATTATAACTGCCGTGCATCGCACGGACACTAATCTACTTCATACATATTACAGTGTCGAAGATTTAACAAAGTATTTAAAGTAAAACAAAGAATTTTAGTAACATTAGAAAACTATATTCTCAATTAAACCTGATCTCAGTCAAATTCATATTAGTCGGAGTCTAATAGACTCTAAATTATCAGAAATGCTTTGCTTAAAAAAGAAACAACAGATAAATCCATTTAACGAGTAGCTACCATTTCACAATGATTGATCACAATCGATTAACTCCATATTAAAAAAGAAAAAAAATCTCCCACCTTCTCTTTCTTTATCTCTTGATAAGATGACAACTCTCGAGATCAACCAAACATTTGCCTTATAAACCCCACACATTAGCAAATTAACGATTCAAAGTAAAATGACAATGATGATGACTAAGACTGCACAAATTTGTCCCATTCACAATAACTAGGTCCCAAATAATTTTTCCTCCATCATCTTTCGTGTTCTTTGTGGTTGTGTGAGTTCTTCTCTCTCTTCAACTCTTGGCTCATTCTCTCTCTGCTAAATTCATCTGAAATCTTCACCTTGTAACTTTAACCCACCATTTTTTTTTTTCCGATCTATTATTTTGCCTGGGAAGTTCATACTTTTCTCTGGTTTCCAGGTATGCTTAATTTCTTGTAAATCCTACATTCTGAATATGCAATAACACTAATTTATATCCCATTTTTCTGGGTTTTTTGTTGCTGTATTTTTGCTCATTTCTTGCTATTTGTGTGTTTTTTTTGTGTAGAATATTTTGCAATTTACTGGTTTTTTGTTTATCTAAGACACTGTGTATGTGTGATAATTCAGTTGCAATTGGAGAAAATATTTCTTAAAAAAGAGAGAAAATAATGAGTTGATTAAGCATGAACTTGAAAGGTTTTTTTTTTTTTTTTTTTTTTCTATTTTTTTTTTCTTCTGATTGGGCAATTATTAGTTGAATTGTTTGAGTATGAACAAAGTTTTTTTTTTTTTTTTTTTTTTTTTTTTTTTAATTTTATTTCTTTGGGGTTATTTAATTATTTGAACAGGAGATAATGTAATTAGAGAATCAGGGATTTATGCTCTATGTTTGTACTTTTGAATAACAGAACTGTTTTTTGCCTTTTTTTTTTGGGGATAAAAAGAAGTTACATTTTGCAAAGGTCTTTTTCTGTGTACTTTTTTTAAAGTAATAACTGGATAGATAAGCAATCATAAATCTGTACAGTCGAATACCAAGACACATACTTGTATATAGGCTGGTACACTTTTAATCTCCTGAATCCTGATTATTTTTTTCTTCTAATGTTGGTACATTACATAACATACTCCTAAACATTTATCAGCTTTCTATTTAGATCGAATTTGGATTTTTCTTTTTTATTTTGGATTGTCATCGTATATTTGTTTGATTTAATTAGCTGTATAAGAGTCTAATTAAGATTGCTTGTCTGCAGGAGAGATGCTGTATAGGTACCGAGGTTTTAGGGAAAATGTTGGGCGTTAGAGTGAGTGATTTAAGTAGAAGCAGAACAGTAATCATACAATTGCATTGCGTTTATTGTTGCTGCTGATAAACTCGAGTGAGTGGAATGGAAGAAAGCTTCGAGAACAATGCTGATTCAGAAACTATTTGGAATATATTGCATAATGGGATTTTCTCTTGGTGTTGATTGCTAAAAACATGAATAGATTCTTCTCTTAGGAAATCAAAGTGTGCGCTATTGGTTCAGTTATCGACGTACTGCTGATTAAGTTTTCGACTCTTCTACAGACTTTTATTTTATATCTTTGTCTAGTTGACATTCATATGTAGCTAATAGCGAGCTCCTGAATACTACACTGCTCACTCTTCCCTTTCTGTCTACCAAGCCCGTAATTAGGCGCTTGCAAGCTTTTTTTGCACGGCACAATTACAGCATAAGAAATATTCTGCAGACTTGCAGAGTAATTAGCATCTTGCATTTGTCAATTCTGGTGAAATATAACAGAATCTGCATCATGAATCATCCCAGTAGAGCATGCTTGATTGCAAGTGAGTCTAGCAAAGGGACTACTGCTTTTTGTCAGGCTCTTCCGTCGCTCGACTTCTCAAGCGTTGAAACCTACCAAGGTTCAGTGTCAAGTGAATCTTCATATCCTTTATTGAAGCAATTAGGAAAACTGAGACTCCCATCTGGACCAAGTGATATCTTCTCATCTAGCTGTGACAGCCATCTTAAGAGTACACCTTCTCGTTCTTCTATGTTCTGCACGAACTTGTATTTATCATCTTCAACGAGTTCAGAAGCTCAACGACAGCTTGGGAATCTTCCATTTCTTCCAAGCCCCTCTGCACCTCGATCAACAAAGACCCAGTTGGTTTTGAATGAAGATACAGATAGTCATTGTGAGCAAAAGCACTCAGAGGATTCATATAGAGATTTTTTTAATTATTCTGGAAGCTTTTCTGATGGTGACTTTGATGATGTTACTTGCGGAAGTGACTCTTTGGCCTTTTCAGAGCGTTTGGAGCTACAGTTATTGTCTGATGAACTGCAATTAGCTATAACTGATAACGGAGAAAATCCTGGAATTGATGTAAGTGCCCAAATAGTTGTGCTCTAGAAGAATTGGCTGATCATATGTAAAGAAGATTCTATGGCCTAGTCTTCATATCTCCGGCTATCTTATTAACTTTGTGAATAGCTGTTTGAAAATTTTCAGGCTTTTTCCTGCCAAATCTGATTTTTTTGCACTTTTTGTCTATTAGGAAATATATGAAGCATCTCCAGTGGCGTTGAGGCCAGGCATTCCATCAACAGTACAGAACAATGCTCAGCCTGTTTCACCATCCTTATGTGTTATTTCTTGTAACAAGACACCTGAGGCTGGTGCTTCTCATAAGCCAAGGATGAGATGGACACCTGAGCTCCATGAACGTTTTGTCGAAGCTGTCAAAAAACTTGATGGTCCTGAAAGTATGTTTCTGATTTATCTTTCTTTGTAATATGTTTTTAGTATTACTAATAATATATCTTTAAATTTGGATGCTCTAAATTTGGATGCTCTAAATTTGGATGCTCCAACTTTATGGCATCTTAAACTGAGACTATAATGGTTTGGGTTGGGGGGAGTATAAAGCATCAATGCAGATTGCAGATGGTGGATCTTTATTGAATTTTGTGAAAGTTTGCTTATTGTTCATTAAATTGCAGAGGCAACTCCTAAAGGTGTATTAAAGCTTATGAATGTTGAAGGGATCACCATCTATCATGTTAAAAGCCACCTGCAGGTAAGTAGATAACTGCGGTTCATGTTTCTATGCTGTTGCTTCTGTTCTTCATTAGCTGAACCGCTGAATGCATTCTTTCTTCTTCTGCAGAAATACCGACTTGCGAAGTATGTACCAGAAAGAAAGGAAGGTGAGACAAATTATGATTGTCATAATTGCAATTAGAAATTTCAGGAGTATGAGATGTTTAAATTGATTATGTAAGCATTAAGATTTTCTCTTCAAATCAAATATTATAATTGATCACCATTGTTTTCTATTATGCATCATTGCTTCTCAAGAAGAAAGAAAAATAGATCAATAATCATCAAGTTACTGAGAACGTCTCACATGTCAATAACGGCTTCTAAAACTATAGTATGTGCCTGAGAAAAAGTAGTGCTTTCATGTCCCCTAGATTTCTGGAACCTGAATCTAAATTCGTTTCTTTTTGTTATTTCAGTAGAGAAGAAGACTTCTAGTTCAGAAGAGGAAAAATCAGATTCAAGTACCAAAGAATCTGATGCATCAAAGAAAGGGTGTGTGACCTAACTACTGGTGATTTTTTTCCAGCTGTTTGCTGTCATTGTTAAATGTTTTCTTCTTTTTACAACTTCAGGAGTATAAACGAGGCTCTCCGAATGCAAATTGAAGTGCAGAAACAGCTGCATGAACAACTTGAGGTTGGTCTAGTTCGTTATCCTTAAAACTTTGCTCTACTAGCAATATCTTGTCAGATTGTACTACACCCCCTCCCTCCAGGCCATTTATCATCTATGTATTGACTTGGCTTCTGTTAAAATGTTGGTAATCTTTATAAAAAGTATGATTAGTAGTCGTAATACTATCTTCAGAAAAAGAAAAAAGTTATATCTATTATAACTTCTAATGTAAATTAGTAGTATCCATGGTGTTTTGTTCTGAATTTGTTGTGTGCACAGGTGCAAAGAGCACTACAAGTACGCATAGAGGAACACGCACGCTACTTGCAGAAAATCTTAGAAGAACAGCAAAAGGCTCAAACTGCCTTGGTCTCATCACAGTCCTTGTCATCAGTTACTAGTGAAGAGCCAGAGATGGAACTGTGTCCTAGATCACCCTTTATCAGCCCTGAATCACCACCTAAGCCTGCTGAATCCAAAACTGATGTATCCATTACATTGCCATCAAAGCACACAAACGAGGACTCTGAGCATCAACCATGCCAGAAAAAACCTCGACTGGAAGATGAATCTAAACCTGAGCCTATTTCGGACGTGCCACCAGTTGTCGACATTTCTCTATGATTGTGTGGTATCTAAGACTTCTACCCGTCAGTCTTTTTCTCTACCTTGTAAATATAGTCTCTACGAGCCATAGCTAGTATCAATATAGTCTCTATGATTGTGTGATTTATTTTTTCTTTCAACTTCCTTAAGTACTCTAGGTCATATTTTCGCGCTTAATCAGTGATTCCTTTTCTTTTTTGGCACTCCCCTTTCCTCCAACTCCAAAAGATTCTTACCAAAGAGAGGGAAAAAACAAGTTATTCTTTCACATTATTGTGCTTGAATTTTAATATCTGAAGACTGAAGCTCTTGTCAATCTTTAAAGCAGGAACAGTTGGTGTCATTAGTCAATGCAATAACATAAGCAAATTTAAAGCTCTTGTTAAACCTACTTTCCTACCAAGTTAATTTAGTTTGCTAATTGCAAATTAAAAAAATTGTTTTTTTTTTTTAAAAAAAAAAAATTCAATATTAAACTTTTATCTTAAACTTAAATGTACTTGTCAATATTTTAGACTGGTGCAGTTGATGTTGTCAAAGCAATAGCCATTATTGCTATCTAATTAAGCCTTTGTAAATGTCAAGTTAATTTTTGCTAACTGTATTTATCTATGTGAAAAAAAAATGAATTGTATATAACAGTCCAGGAGACAGAATATTTTCTTGTCAGGTTCAATTTAGTTAATTATATTTATGATATACTTTTTGATCCAGCTATTTTCTTTTACATTCTGCAATCTACATGTTCTAGCCATATTGTATTAATAAAATTTTGTTCTATAAAAAGGTTATGTAGTAATTATGAACTAATAAATTATACGTAGTATTAGCTTTGGGCCTTTATACAATAAAGTACAACTTTCAATTATGTGTTGCCTTTGAGTCTTTAACCCTTTGTGAGTGTGTATACGGTGTACCCTCTATGTACTGTCAAAACCTAAGAAAAACAATTACATGAGGTTGAGGTGATGAAGTAATGACATTGCTCCTCACCTTAGTTCCCGGTCTAACAATCAAATCAATTTAACTTATCTTCCCCTTTTAGTGAGAGTTTGTGGAACTCAAATACGAAGTATAAAATTTTCTAGAGTACTTCGTATTTCTTTTTATTTTAATAGTATTTTTATATTTATAGGTGAAGCACGCAATATGTAAATAATATTAAGCATTTTATATAAAATTTTGGTTTCAAGGTTTTGTACCAATCAAAATTGGATTAAACTGATTTTTATGCTGCATTTACCAAGAAGAATACAATCTGTGTTATTTAATTTTACTGAGAAGTATACAATTCATGTTATTTAATTTTTTAACATACATTGAGAATATTCTCAATCCCAATAGAGGGTGCACTCCATTTTGCTCTTCTTAATATACTATTACGTTATATACGATGTATCTTCATAAAGTATTTTGCAAAGCATTGGTAATTAACTTTGTTGGAGTCAAAAGAGTAATGGTAATTTCTAAATCAACCACATGGCTAGCTAACTACTAATAATTGAATTTTTTTGTTTTAGAAACTCATAATTGATCTTAAACCTAAACCTACTTTTCAATGGCTTTTTAGGTGGATTATTTGCAAGTCAAAATTTTCATATAGTCATTGAACTTATGTTACAATATTAACTATGTAGTAACTTACACTATCTACCACTTTGAAAATTTAAAGTTCAGCATAGCTTTAAAAAAAAAATAAAAAAAAATAAAAAAATTGTTTCAAAAAAAATAAAAATAAACCCTGTATTTATAGTGTACACTTGTGACATTGATTGTTACAAACTCATTTTAACACAAGTTACCTTTGGTTTTCATTTAGAAAATAAACGGACAACATACTCAAACAAATGAAATGACCAATTCTGTATACTCCGTACATAGAAAACTTAAACATAGTTACGAAGTACTCCCTCTGTCCCTATTTTTTTGCTCCATTGGACTTTGCACGGTTTTCAAGATGCGTTTTGTAATGCAAATAACTTTATTTCTATACGGTAAAAATTATAAAAACTTGATATTAATAATATACTTCCTCCGTTTTTTTTATTGCATCACAGGGGTTTTGGAGGCAAAATTTGGTAGTGGGAAAAAGTAAGAGAGAGAAACGTAAAAATACAAAATTGTCCATGTAATGTAAGATAAAATAAAAAGTAAGTGTGAAAAAGTAAGGGTATGTTGGGTATTTGCAGTGTGAACATAGATATTTTTTATCCTAAAAAGAAAATGATGCAATAATAAGTAAACTTCCTAAAGTAGTAAGTGATGCGATAAAAAAAGAACCGAGGAAGTATATAATGAGACGAATCCAACAAAACCCCACATGACCATATTACCTCTTATTGATTAATGGGAATTTATGGTAAAAGCTTTTAAAGTTGTGACCTCATTATTTGTAATGGAAAAAAAATAGGGACAATGGAGTATTTTACTTTAAAAAAGGGTAAATCTAAGACTATAAGAAGTACTTGTAAATTGTAATAGACATAATATATTACAGAGTAATATACTCCATATTGACCATATAAGGTAATACATGCACAAGTGTGCGGTAAACTTATTATAAACCCGATACAAACGAGAGACTCGATTGATAATACGGAATACTGTATAATTCTTTATCTGAAAATAATGAGAAAAGCTACCTGTTTTGGTTAACACTATAGCAGGTTGATAAACAACAACGATAATGAGTTCATTGTGGAATTGTTGGAATAATGAAAAAGACTGCTAACTGTTCACTCAATTCATATAATTAATGCCGTGGTTTTTTGGCCCTTTTCTCAAATTAAGTTCACATGAGCCATAGTATTGTCACCCTCTCCATCTCTCATTTCTTGTCTTCTCCTGTCAATTCATTTTTTGCATTTTACATGAAACTTCTTCAATATTACAGGTTTTAAATCCCTATTTGAAGCATTTTTTCTTCTTTGATTTTTCTTGTTTCGTCTTTTTAAATTTTTGGGTTTTAAGGGTTTTGCTGTGAATTTTGCAGTTTTCTGTGGGGTTTTTTTTCTTCTTCTTCTTCTTCTTCTTTTTTTTTTCCTTTTATGTTGGTGGGGGGGTTTTTCAGTTTCTGAAACTAATACCCAGTTGCAGAATTCCGCCATTGTTGAAAAGCTTTGAGTTTTTGGGGGTCCCATTTAAGTATGCATGATTGAAGATATGGCTGCAACTTCGGCGGTTCTGTAAGTGTTTCTCTTTCCTCCTCTTGTCTTTCTCTTTCTATGAGTATTTACTACGAGTATTTAGGTTAATGGGTATGTTTGAAATTGAATTTTCCCTCCTTTTTTAAGTAAATTATTGTTTGGTTTAATGTGGGTTGCAATTGGGTACTGTTCAATTGATTGATTTCTGTATATATTGAAATAATTTCGAGAAATTTACTTTACTGCTATAATTCAACATATTTGTGTGTCTTACATTGTTTATTTTTCATTCAAATGTCTGTAGAAATGATACTGCACTTGAGTATGCATCTAGTGGTTCAGTTGATAATGTTTCCAATTCTCGGTTGGATGAGGGTCAGTGCCATTGGTTTTCTCCCAAGGTGAGGTCTCTAGTCTTCAGAAAGTCAAATAAGAAAAGATAATGGCAATTTACCGAGTTATTATCGGTCTGTCGTAACGTTTTTGACAATTAATTTGAAGGATAAGTTCAATTTATTGAATTATAGTTGTGGGTTTTCGCAGCAGGATTGAAGGCCAGAAATTTGTTTATAATGTAGTGAAGTTGGTTGCAATTTCTTTGATTTAAATTTGATATTTGCAGTTACGACTCCTCAACCCTAATCTAGGTAGGATTTGAGAGCCATTATTAGTATAGGGGCAAGGCATCTCTACTGTGCATTTTTAGCTAAACTTATTGAATCATGTATTTTTGCCATCATGGCCTATAATGTGCTACACACAGGAGCGTGAAATGTAGGTCTATGCTGGGTGAAAATATGAGATTTAGTGGAGGCAGTAGATGGTACATGGCAGGAACCTGAAATGTACGAGGATTGTTTTCTGTTTCCTTTAGTTATAGATACATGATTGATTCACTTTCGACTTAGAGTCAATAAGGGTGAAGCTTTTTCTATACTAAAGTTTTTTCCTTCCATTAAAGATATGGCTATATAAGTTTCTAACATATGACTGATCTTGCTTTCTTGTCTTTTGGGAGCTAATTATTTGTGATTTATGCTAGGCAAGCAATTATATTGAAGCCGAAAATGGGGGATACTATGGCAGATGTGATGGTGTTTTTGATTACAAATTTCAGCTAGAGAAAGATGTAAGTCTTGTTATTTATGCTATTGTTATATTTATCTTCAAAGAAAGCCTTTTGTTTCTTCACCCAGCAATGTGCCAAATAATTTACTTGGGATATCTCTCTGCAATATTAGAAGTATAACTTAAACTAAGAATTAGAAAGAACAAGGCATGCTTAATTTGCAATCCGCAAGCAAAAGTACTCGTCTATATACTGGTTAAACAAAATAGGCTCGGTAGCCTCTGTTTCCAACATAATTTAATACAGACTCTCACTTTAATGTCTGAACTCATCCTGCAAATGTCACACAAAAGATTGCTGGTTGTGGACTAAAGTGAAGGGTTGAGACCGAATTAAGGGATTGCAAAGTGTTACCTATGTTTCCTTTTAGTAAACTCTAGTTATTTACTTAATTTGGACTTGGCCTCTGGGAACTCTGTGAGAAGTCTGGCATTGGATTATCATGGATGTTCAGTTACTCTTGGAGTGAAAGTTGATGTCCAACTCTGCAATATTGCCTCATCTTGTTATATAATTTGAACTTTCAGAAAGTTGATATACTGGGGCTGATGATAGTTTCAAACTTAGGGTAATAGGGGTAGTACATAATACTGATAACACTTAACCCTAAAGATGTGATTTGGCCCCTTGTTGCTACAGGACTGCTCTTATTGGCAGTTTGCACTTACAGAAGCAACCAAGAAGATAGATACAAGGGATGCATACAAAAAAGATTTCCCACTACATCTGGCAACACATGATCCCTATCCATAGATTTTGATTAATTAATTTGGGTTAGACTATTAATTTCCCTTGGATACACATCCATTGTTTTTCTATGTACCACTTTTCTTATCTGACTTAATGAGATTTATATTTAGTCCATGCCCATAGTTGTGTACACGTGTTGGAGGCGGCTAATATTGTCCTTAACAGAAAGGAAAACCCTGTGTACTCTTACACAGTAAATTTTATACTATGACTTCACTGATACCCTGGCTCATATAATGTAGGCATGTAGCTCTCAGATATAGTTAGATACCATTTTTTAAAGTAATTGATAACTTAGATCATAGTTCTAATATAAATTCTCCTTTTAGGTTCGAAGTTTGCATCAACAGCTGCAAGAGGAAAAGGAGTTGCATGTGACTCTGGAACATGCTGTCGAAAAGAACGTCATGGAGCTTTCTACTCCGTCTCACTTTCCTCAGCGTGTATGTCATGTTTAAAGTTTTGTTTTTCAATCTTCTTTTGGTTTTGGCTCATTCTGTATCTGTCTCACTCATCAAAAATAATCTGACCATTCCAGGACACCAGGCAAATTAAGCAATGCATAATTCATTTTCTGATACTCCCTATGTTTTTTTAAATGCAAAAATTCATTATAGTTGTATATGTACTATGTAGCTTTTTGTGTACAAAATTATATTTTGACAGGCTGAGCTTTACTATTGATTGGTGACAGATTCTGTATTCTTTCTGAACTGATAACATTTATTCTGATAACTATGTAGACAGTGGAGCTTTTGTCCAGTATTGCAGCACTAGAGGCCTCAATTTCAGAACTTGAAGAAGAGATGGTTTCTCTCCATTATCAACTTAGTCAAGAAAGAAATGAAAGGAAACTTGCCGAATATCGTTTGCAACGTTCTTATTCTAAGAAGACATCTTCACCTTCCTGGCAGGTATCTTCAAAAATATAGGATGGAGTGTTAATTACTCCCTTTGCATCAGTATTTCATGTCATTAATGGCATTACCGGCATGACTGCATAATCATCCACAACACTTAATACTCGGATATTAGTTGTATGCAGTTATGTTTATGATGTTAGCAATTTAAACCTGATATAAATTTTATGACGTCATGTTGCTCACCTGAATAAATAATTTATGTATTTTCAGGGGAGCCAATTGTCTCCAAAAATGTATCCCAAGGATAGTGGGGCTGTGAATGTTGGAAAGCTCACTAAGGAGCTTTCTTCTAAGGGTCTATGGAATCATCCTAATCGATTATCAGAGGAGATGGTGCGATGCATGAGAAGTATTTTTATCTCTTTGGCTGAATCTTCTCCTTCGTCAAACGATACCACAACGGATACCCCGAGTTTACCTCATGCTCATCCTTCTAATGCACCATCATGGTCATTATCTGAACACTTGATGGTTCCCATGTGGGCGAAAAGCCCACAGATTGATTTGCCGCGTGATTCCGAGGTGCTAGGAACAGAAGGTACTTTTGACCCTTATAAAGTCACTGGAAAATTAAGTTGGATGGAGATTGGGAGATATGGATTGGCAACAGAAGTTTCTTGGATGTCAGTTGGGAAAAGCCAGCTGGAATATGCTGCAGGATCTCTGCGGAGATTCAGGTTAATATTTACGTAGTATCTTTTTTGCTTTGGTTCTTAGATGGAGACATAATTTGATCTTGTGATCTACTTCCAAAGTCTACCTACTAGGCTACTAACAAGTTGGCATCCACAATATTCGTTTTATTTTTAATACATTTGACATAGAATTGATGGTATGATCGTGAACATGGTATCAAGGTAATTGTAGGTTGTTCAGAATAGTGAATAGTTTAATTTTTATACTACTTGCATTATCAATCTTATCAAATGAGGCTAAGAGGTCAAGGCCTGATCATGGAATTACTGCTGGTTAATGCATTATGGTTTCTCGTTTTTTCTGAGGACAGGATACTTGTTGAGCAATTGGCCAAAGTGAATCCTATCCTCTTGAGCAGTGATGAAAAGCTGGCTTTCTGGATCAACTTATATAATGCCTTGATTATGCATGTGAGTTTTCTACATTCTGTTACTTTGAGTAATAATGCATTTTGGATGTTAAAATGCCAACCTTTTGTTTTGTACTGTTGCACCTTACTACAGGCTTATCTAGCATATGGGGTCCCACGAAGTGAAGCGAAGTTTTTTTCACTGCTGCAAAAGGTTTGAGCACTGTTATCCACTTTATCTTCTTTACCATTTTGGGCCTTTTTGGCTGACAAAACCATTTTACTTCCATGAAGTGTTTATTTTAGAAACAATAGTAACCTAGAAACCAGGACAAATTAGCAACAAATGTCAAATGACTTTCTCAAAACTAGATGATATGAGAATGCTTTGGGTTAAGTAATACTTGTTAATGTTAGAAAAGAGATGCTTTATAAACAAAGAATAAATTTAAGGAAGCAAGCAATGCATATATACAAAATTAGATTGCAACTTTAAGCTTCTGAACAACAGAGCTGATCAGTTGCTCCTTCTGCAAACTTCATTCAAACATAATGTTTTTTCATTGTAGTCATTGTAAAAAGATCTTAAGATCCCTTGAGTCCAGTTGCATGTGATTGTAGTGCATTTTTGGAAGATAAGGAAAAAAAAAAAAAGGCTTACATTAAGTGTCCTTGTTCTCAGGCAGCATATACCGTTGGAGGCCATTTATTCAGTGCTGCTGTCATTGAGTATGTGATTCTGAAGATGAGACCACCTATTCACCGTCCCCAAATTGTACGGAACTGCCTTCTGATGCCTGTTAATCTGATTATTTTATTTCCTGATCGATTTTTCATCTGTGATGCTTCTTTTTTTACTATTTCCACCTTTAGGCTCTGCTGCTCCCTCTTAATAAGCTAAAGGTATCAGAGGAGCAAAAGAAATTCGCAATCGATTCTTATGAACCAAATATCGCATTTGCCCTCAGTTGTGGGATGTACTCATCGCCTGCGGTAATTCTCAACAAACACTAGAAATGCTTTTTTCTTGTATTTGGGTGCTTCTGTATTACCACACTCTGATATCTGAAGTTTCTTGTTTCTCCTGTCCAATGTAGGTTCAGGTGTTCACAGCAAAGAATGTTAGAGATGAACTTGAAGCAGCACAACGTGATTTTATTCGGGCTTCAGTTGGTGTGAGTAGCAAAGGGAAGTTGCTGGTGCCAAAGATGCTGCACTGCTTTACCAGAAATAACGTAGATGATTCAAAACTCGCTCAATGGATATCGCGTTATCTGCCTCAGGACCAGGCTGCTTTCATTGACCAACACATAACTCAAAAGCGTCAGAAACTCTTTGGTTCGCGAAATTGTGGGGTCCTTCCTTTTGATTCTCGGTTTCGCTACCTTTTTGTGCCTGAAATGGTTTACCAGTAATGGCATGGCTGTTCAGTGTAGTTCAGCATCAACTCTGCTTGAGTACATGGCGGCTTAAATGCTACCCAGACCTGCAGTGTAAATCAGGAATAGGAGGGTATAGAGTGGGACAATGGGTGCTTTTTTTTATCCCAAGGAGCAAAATTTAGTTCAAATTTCTGGTACATATAAATGTAAATACATCAGTGTAATCATAAATTTGTCAGTGCAAATAAATTTAGTTTTTCCAATTTGAATGATATTGAATCATTACATTACTTAAGTGAGTACAACAGTAGTCAGTGTATAATTACTATGTACACACCATTTCTGGTTAAAATTCCACAAAATTCATGATTTTCATCAAAAATCACATAACTATCGACTATATCACAGGAATGAAATATGATGACCGAGATTATATCAACGTCTCTTATCTGCATCGTCGAGCAAGTTGCATATATCTGAACATTCCACCAAGCTACACAACAGATAAATCCATGAAAGCCTCATTACAGAGGAATTATGCAGAGCTCAGCTATAATGATCTTATATGAGTAGAAAAAAAAAACATCTTACCAATATTGTCGACTTCGAAATCCCTGCTTAAATACAATTATAGGTCTGCAATCAAATACAACAACATAAGAAATTATGGAAACTTAATTTTGGTAAAATTTGAAATTAAATAGAGCCCATGAAAATCATGATATTCTATACTCGTGTTAAGTTAACAAGGCCACTCTGTCACTTACAATACCTTCGAATATTTAGAGGACCTTCACCGGGGGAGCCATCGCCACCACGAATACAAGTGCCAACACACTTAGTAGTACAAGACTCAGCATTCCTAGACTTCGGACGTTGGATTCTGTTCTTCTTCATATTACTCTGATCACACTCCTTGTCCATAGGATCACAAGACTTCCCTGAAAGCTCTTGTGGTATATTGGACAACGTCTCTTCGGAAGGCGGAGGCGTCGAAAGCACCACCGCAGCTGCTAGCATGCCAATCCCACTGATGGCCTGAGAGTTCCATACATTTGCATTCCCATTTACATTGATGATCTTCCATACTGAAGGTGAGGAGTGAGAATGGGAATAATGATGGTATAGTTTTTTGTTGAAAGTTAAGGATTTGAGATTTTGGGTGTGTAAAGTTAGCATCATTTCAATGGTGGAATGAATGGAAGTTGGGATTTGTGGATTAGATTTTCTTTCCTTTTTTCTGTTTTGTTTGGATGGGAGGATTTCCAATTTGGATTCCTGGACCCTGGTTAGTTTGATAGGTTGTGTTTTAAGGTTATAATAGGTTTTGAGTTCGAAGACCGTATCAGACACTTCCAAGTTGAGTTTATAATATTTTTAACAGGTTCTGAAGAATTTATCAGACAATTCTAAGTTGAGTTTTTAATATTAAATATCTTAGTCAAATCTACCTCTAGAATGGAATGTATATACAAGTCTATAAGGGCAATACAAATATTAGGATATTTTTTAATGCGGCAATAATTTTAATGGAAATAGGTCAACCTATCTCAGAGAGTGGATTCAAGAGTCTACTCTCAATTTTTTTTTCCCTCTAGAACAACTTTTATCGGACTTGAAAATTTGTTATAGTTATAGAGTATTTCTTATTTTTTCTTGAAGCAACCATAAAATCTTCCAATATTGGACACTTAACTTGGATCTTGGAGATTAGCTGGTGTAGATCTTAATCAAATACTTGTATAAGCAATATTCATTTTGACTAGCTTTAAGGTTAGTATGATTTCACTAACATATGCCAAATTTTCAAACATGAGCCTTTAATGGAGCCTTTTGATTAATTAATTTTGTAATTTATAGGCTTATGCACTCAAGCTAGAAATTAATATGACAATGAGCAATCTAATGAAAAATTCAGGAAAGAGAGAGTTAAACGTTGTGAGAACAACTAACATATGGCTTAGCAAATTGTTCAAATTCTGACCTCGTTACAATCACTCTATGTACGCAACTACTATTGTTACATTTTCTCAATATTGTCAAGCAATGACTCAGAAACAACAATTTCTGCAACACACGTACGTGACAAACCTAGATTGACCTTCCACTCAAACTTTTCATTTTACGTCATATACCCTTTGTCAGATATTCGAAACTCCCAATATGGGTATGGACAGTTAACACTTCATTTTGGATACGTACAAACACTTGAAACTGTACTGACACCACATAGATCTGAATAACACAGTTCTTAACAAGACCCGAGTCTCTGGTAGCATCTAGAAGTATATAAAAAGTTCGTTGTTCTTGATAATATTATGCAACTTTTTTCACACAATGGAATGTCTTCACTTTCTATTTGCAGCAAGAGATACAGGGTTGGTATTGATATAATATCTGTTTTCATCCCAAGAAAAAAAAAATAATCACGCAGTCTTTATATCCTATATATATGCTATACACAATTATATCACCAAGTAACAAAGGGAAAAATGCTCATCAAATTGTTCTCAGTTCTGAAGCAAACGCCAATGAGACGATCAAAATCTTTACATTAAGATATACTCCATTAGGTGTTCTTCTCAAGAACTGAGAGTGCCGGTGTCAAATAATTATTCGCCTTATCAGGCAGATGTGCCACCTGCAAAATACCCAAACAACATAAGTTACATAAAAACTAACTGTAAAGAAGAAAAACCATTTAGCTAGAGATTTGATATAGAGTTATGCTGGAGGATCATTTCTTACCAGTTCATAAAGCTCCTGACCTTGCTCAGCCACATACTCATAGCACACCTGAAATTTTGCAGTAAGATAAAAAAATCAGGAATGTTTGAAATGCTTTAATTGATCATGACTTCATTATTAACTCACATCAAAGCTCTTATTTCTGGCTGTCGAATCATGCAATGCCTTCACACAGATATCGGCAACATCAGCACAACTTATTCCCTGCAACCAGTTTTGATTCAAATACGGAATCAGAAAAACCAACAAATATATAGAGCCTGACAGTATGGTTAGCTCTTTCATATTATGTTCACCTGAGAAATTCGGTTTCCCTGGTCAAAGATCAAAGCACGTTGCCCCCCGGGTTCTTCCTGTGAAACAAGTTAAACGTACACTTTTAAGTCAATATATAAGCTTTCTACCACTGTATTTGAATTACAAGTGTGTGACTTGAACACAGGTGATATATGCAGAAGAAGTTGAACATACCATCAAAGGACCAGGACGGACTATTGTATAACCAAGTCCTGATTTTCTCAACGAATCTTCACCAGCCTACAAAGGAGACCAAATGTAAATATAACACAATTTTGCAGTTCCTATAATATAGACACAATACACCCTTTACCTGATCTTAGTGAGCAACATTGATGTTTACAAAACTAACTTTTACTGATCAAAACTGATTTTACTGATCAAATTTGATGATTTCAGATTATTTAACTTTTACTGAATCTTATCTTTACAAGTTGTAGAGATAAAGACTAAGGGTATGGAGAGTTTTAAAAGCTGCTGTTAAAGGTAAAAGTCATACCTTCTTAGCTCTCAAAACCTGTTCCCTTCTTGAGGTCTCTATTCCTGATCCTGTACACGATACCAAGATGAAATCTGTTTCCTGACCGCTCTGCACATATGGATAGATCATATCAGAATGTTATGAAACCTGTAAGAACTTGCTATCATATAGTTTTCTGTGTTCTTAAGGCACTGAAATAAAAACAATGCTGAACACACCGGCAAGGCTTTTATGTATTCCAAGATTAGCTCGAAATTTCTTGGGTCTTGCTTCATCCCATTAGGCCCTTCAACAGGTCTCTGCACCAAGATTCATGATGGGCAAGTTAGCAGAACTCGCAGAACATGTGATATAATGAAACTCAAGCTGTATTTTAGCTATTGCTGTTACTATAAAGTAGAGGTGTCAAACAATATACTTCGTATTATAGAAGCTTGATGCTACATACATATATTGTCTTTCAAAAGCAATCCACTTTTTTTAAAAAAGAAGCCAAGTACATGTTTCTGTACCGTGTTAGATGTTTGGCAGAAGATTTTTGCATCAAATACACAATAAAGATCAATGTGTGTTAAAGGAAGATGTTTATGTTACCTGTCTTCTAGGCTCAAAGCGAATGGTCAAAGTATGCGCAAGAAATGGATCCAAAGATGGATCACTTGGATTCACTGGGCGAAAGGCTGAAAATGGAACTCTGACCTTCCAAACAGTAAGGAGAGAAATACAGGTTTCAGATACAGTACACATTAGTCCTTGCAAAAGGAATTTTAAGAGGATAACATATTAACATTACTTATAGATTCTGTACCCTGCAAAAGCCTGCTTTTGTATTAATTCTTGCAAAATACAATTTGCTTTGGGTTGAATCCGCAAGAGGACCAGCTTCAAGGATTACAACATAAGAACGACCGTTGCCTCCAACAGAAAGAACAAGACCTTCATACCTAATCATCACACGTTTCTCCAAAATTAAAGCTGAAGTATCCATCACATAATATGAGGTGAAACATATGAAAAGTGTGTACAATATTGCAGTACTTGGTAGGACTTTGGAGAAGCATACCTGTCTAGAGTAGAACCCAAGGGGAGTGAAAGCTTTCGTGATAGTTCCACATATCCTCCTCTGGTGAAAACATATCCTTGGATGAAAATGGTAAATTAGAGGTACAGAAACCTTAAAAACCCTTCCACAAGTTTTTTTTTTTTAATGATCAGTAAATGTCAGCTGCATATTTTGCTTATTGTTCGGTACCAGCCTACCAGGATCATTAACCGGACTAATTGTTATAGTACTGAATCACACAACAGTTATCCATCCAGGCCATGGTTCAATAAGATTCTTTAGAACAAATATGTATATAAGTCTTTCTTTAAGCACACGACATAACCAATAGCCAAAAACAGAAGTATATTAGTATATACCAGAGAAAATGGCAAGGCCGTTTTCATTGAACTCAAACTTGGCTTCCATTCCTCCATCATATTTGCTGGCCACCACATCCTGGAAATAAGTCCCTTGGCGTACTTCCCATCCCTCTAGTGAATATTCCGATTTGAATTTTGCTATTAGAAGTTTGCTTTTGCTGCTTTTACCTGCTCTTAATTGTGCCAATTTGTTGTTGTAGTCCTGTAATGTACACCATTACATCAATACCTTCAATTACTTCCATAACTCCACATGCATTGTTGATTTATGACAAAATATACCATTCAGGTAGTAGTTTTTATTTGTTAAGTACTCATTATAAACTTATTAAAACCAAACAGCTACACATTATCAAAGCTATAAATGACTATGCTCAAAGAAATTACCATCACTGTTATAGACAAGGTATTACCTGAAAGGCTTTCGCAACATTGTATACTCCACGGTTGTCAACTCTGTTGAGATCCCCTGTAATGGCAGAACGAGCAGTGGCACAGTAGATGATTTTACTGCAACCTTCCACCGCATTTTGGAGACTAACAGGATCTCCCACATCCCCAACCACTAGTTCCACTGATCTCGGCATCATATCCATCACCCCTTGATCAATTCTCCTCACTAAGCCCTAGCATTCATTAATACATATCTTACAACTTAAGAGTAAGCTTAACTGAATATAATCAAATGAAAAAAAAAAAACATTTCATCAAATTCAATCTTGGTAATTTTAAAGCTTGTTTTAATCCAAGTTCATCAACAATAATGCCATGAGGCAATATTATGAACTACACTATTGTTACTTATTAGACATAATCACATGTAACTCAATTTCAAATTGCTATACTCCCTTAAATAAAAAGCATCACATTTATTTTGTAAAATGACTTGCATTGAAGTAAAAATTCAATATCAAAAGTTATATACCCTACAATTAAATACAAAGTTTACTAGACTAATTCAAATTGCTCAATACTTCTAAGTTATCCTCTCTTAATAGTAAAATATTCCACCATGAAGTACTAAACGTAACATACACATTTCAATTCGTAAGGATAAGACTGCATACATCTAATCAAACTGCAACATAAAACAACACATGTGTAAAATTGTACCTTAACAGCATAGCCTCGAAGCATGAGCTTACGAACAACGAGGCGGCCAATACGACTAGTAGCACCAACAACAAGAACAGTAGTATTCTGAGCACCAGGAATAGGTGCACCATCTCCATACACCAACAAATTATTACTACTACCATCATCATATTCAGTCCTAGAAATCTGTCCCAAGTTCGAAAACTTTTTCCAAACCTCATCGAATATCTGCCTCGACTTCCTCCCTAACCCGACCGGATTAACCGCCTCATCAAGCCTTTTAATCACATCATTATTACTCTCATTACTACTACTCTTCCCACTCTTCTCTGTTTCAACTTTACTAACAATTTGCTCCTTTTTACTACCATCAACATTATTATTATCTTCTTCCTTAAATTTCTTGTTCTTTTTTGTCATCTTGCTGTCTTTCTTGCCTGTACTGCTGTTTTCTGTACTTGCAGATGCTCTGACATTCTGGGTTTTTCTGAATTTGTCAGTTGATATGAAATTTAACCTTTTTCTGCTGCTGTTTTTTGTTGCAGCTAACAGATGAATTGCTGTTGCTGCTGCTGCTGCTGCCATTTTTACTTTTTATGAAAATTCAAAGATTTGGGTTAGTTTGTATGTTGAATTTGATAATGATGATCAAGAATTCATTGAAAAATGGTTGAAAATTAGTGTAGTATGTATGATAATAATGGAGGAAGAATAATTTTGTGATGATAAAGATTAGAACTTGTTTTTGTGATTTTCACAATTTTTAATTTTTCTAGAATCTAGAATACAAATGGATAAAGAATTTGTGATGATAAAAATTTGGATTTTGTGTAGCTGTTTTGGGAGGTTCCCAGAATCTGAAACTGTGAATGGCCACCATCAGAAAGTGTTGATGCAAAACTAATCTGAAAAGTGCACTTATCCACCACATAAAAATGGTGTGGCCCCCATCCATTTTGTGGCTACAGAAAAACGATATGTAATTTTTTACTCTCATTGACCCGTTTATCACATCTATTAATGTAAAATTTGACAAATAAAGTAATATCTTTAATCATCAATAAGTATAAATTGTTAAAAGTTTGTATTCAGAAACTATACATCTGACAAATAAATACCCTATAGCTATGTTCGATCTTATTTACGATTATAAAGTACATACATTGGTCAAAAACTCAAAATGGTGTATATATAGATTGTACACCCAATTAAACTAGAGAGTTTATTTCTTAGCAATGAATGTTTTTTTAGGTTGACACAAGATGAATGATTCAACTAGACTCACAGGAGTCAACAATCTTGTCTTTATGAACTTCCTTGTTGGAATTGCACTATTAATTCAAGTTAAAGATCAAATAAATAAAACATGAAAAAATAAAAAAAAATAAAATAAAAAAATCAATATTCGCCTTATAAATATCTCATCTTGGATATAAAGATTGTTCAACATGGATCTTTCAAATTAAGATTAGTTTCGATCAATTCTATTCAGGTCATATTAAGATAATGAACCATCATAACCATGTAACACGGGTTGGGTCAAAATTGGACTGGATTTATTGGAGTTATTGATACTATTTAAATCATCTTGTTAGGCCAAGTCCACTTATAACAATATACAATGAGATAATGTAGATTTCACATCTTTTGCCAAATGTTTTTGTTTGCTTAAGCTTTAACGTTGTTTTGTTCATAACATGATTTTCAAAGATCCGTATTAAATGCCATGCACCTAGCTAGTTATTATTTGAATTAAAACAATAATTATATATATTTATTTCAGTCAAAAAAGTTTCTAATATACCTAATATTTAGCTGTCAGTTCAATTATTCTTCTCTCAGTCCATATTGAGGCAGCTTTTTTTTTCCTAAAAAAACTTGTATATATAATACATTAACACGTTACATACTTCATAAAAAACTTATTAAAAACCTTGCTTTTATTCTTCCGAAAGAGAATTCTCTCCAATTTCTACTACTTTTACCAAAAATCTAAAAGTAACTGGACGCGGATCCCGCGTCCAGTTACTAGAGAGAATCCTAATATTTTTTGTCATTTCAAAGACAAAATTATAAGAAATCCGATGATTTCTTGGGAAAATCTATACCATGTATTATCAAACGTGGTACCACTATATGTCGTAATGATCTTAGCTTATAGTTCAGTAAAGTGGTGGAAAATATTTACCCCAGATGAATGTCTAGGGGTTAACAGATTTGTAGCCCTATTCGCGGCTCCATTTCTATCTATCAAGTTCATCTCAAACAACAATCCTTACGCGATGAACTATCAATTTATAGCAGCAGATACACTACAAAAAGTCGTAGTCATGTTGATCCTATTTTTATGGTGTAAGCTAAGTTCAAGAGGCTCTCTAGAGTGGTGCATCACACTATTTTCTCTTTCGACTTTAACAAACACACTTGTTATGGGCATCCCTTTGTTAGAAGGAATGTACGGCGAAAATCCCTCTAAATCTTTAATGGTGCAATTATCTGTGATACAATTTACTGTTTGGTTTCCTTGTTTGTTGTTCTTGTTTGAATATAGAAGAGCAACATTATTAGTGCCACAAAAATGTTGTGAGAATAATGAAATTGTTGTGAATGGTAATGGTTCTCTTGGATCTTTTCGGAATGGTGGGAGTTTAGGGTTTGATGAGGAGACTCGAATTGGTGTTGGTGAAGCTTCTCTTCCTATTGAATCAAGTGAGATTAATGAGGCTAATCGAAGAGGTAACGAAAATCTGACTAATGATGGTCACGATCATGATCATAGAGGGAATACTAACCCTAAAGGTTAGCTTCCAACTTTGATTTATTTTTTTAGATTTATATTTCATACATGCTGCTGTGAGAAATAATATGTTCCCTCCCTCACTGGCGGATCTAGAAAAAATATTTAACGGGGTCAAAATACATTTGATAAATGTTAATAAGGTTATTTGAAACAAATATAAGCAACTTTATTGGAAAAAAAAATAATAATTTTATAAGTTTTTTTCATGTTCAAGTGGGGACACTTGTCCCCACTTGAACACCATGCATCTGCCATTTGGTTCCCTCCATCTCTAAATAACGTTACGAGTTATGTTTGGCTAATTGGAATGGTGAGGTTATTATAACTTAAAAGATGTATGTTTCTTAGCGAGCTTTACTAGCTAGAGGGAGCATCTTCCATCTAGAATTAATTGTCACATTGTCTCAATATTTTTATTTGTAAGCATATGTTGTTAAACTTTGATCGTAATAAGCACTATATATGATTACACTATTATTGATGCCAGGCTCAACTTTGATAGAATTGGGTACTAGATCGATGATGGTTGATCAGGTCCATCCTGAAACTGTGGCTCAACTCGAACCCAAACCCAAGGAAACAATCCCTGCTGGTGTGGCAACCAGGCTGATTTTGATCATGGTTTGTAAGAAACTAATCAGGAACCCTAACTTTTACTCTAGTGTTATAGCCCTTATTTGGTCCTTAATCTCATTCAGGTGAATCACATTGAACTAACATTGTTTATTTGTTTCATATGTAGTTTCTCTAATGTTAATACTTAATTATAAGTTGATTATACATATAATAATTCGATCTTAGTAAAAAAAATTACCAAAATTTTGTAGGTGGCATGTTCAAATTCCTGCAATTGTGGACAACTCAATTAAAATTCTCTCTGATGCAGGATTAGGGATGGCAATGTTTAGTCTTGGTAAGTAAATACGCTGTTTATGTTTCTCCATGGCTGGTCATTTTGCTATGCTTAATTATTAGAAATTGAACATATATAGGTTTGTGTACAAGTTTCAGACTCAACTATTTTATAAAGACAATTTTGTTTATTTTAGTCCAAAATAAATGTTTAGTATGTGAAAACTTTGTATGAGTATTGATCACATTGTCATACTAGACCTACCCAAGATAAATTACTTCATTTAGTACCAAATTTGACCCAAATAAAAATTGACCAGACTCTAATCAAAAGTACCTCAATATTAATATTCAATAATAATTTAGTGAACAAAAGGAACATTAGGAAACCCTGGCCTCCGCACAAGGGGAATTCCTGATGCGTAATTAGTAGTCTTGTATGTGATTTGACGACTGTTCTAAATTTATACCAAACTGATCAACTAACTCATTACTTGAATACAACCATATCAAAATTACCTTTGCTCAAACATCTCATTTCCCACCTTTGTCTAATAGGGAGTATGGAGTATAATGTAAGGCAATATTGAGAGATATGACAAAAAGGTTCAAGTAGGTTGTTGAATTGTTGGTTAAATTGAGCACATTTCTTGTTTCATGTCAAAATGGGTAGGTTTGTTCATGGCTTCACAACCAAGGATCATTGCCGGCGGGAATGCATCGGCTGCCCTTGCTGCGGCGATGAGGTTCCTCGTCGGTCCTGGTATTACGGTAGCTACTTCATATATTGTGGGGTTAAGAGGAACCCTGTTACAAATCACCATCATGCAGGTAAATAATACAAAGTATTAGTTAACCTAGTAAATTGTAGAAGAAAGTAGTGAAAATAACTATAAATTCTATTTTCTTGTCGAATTAATTAATGTACTTCTAACCATGCACATAATTATTAATTTGAATTATAGGCAGCTCTGCCACAAGCAATTGTCCCTTTCATCTTTGCTCGAGAATACAATGTTCATCCTGGCTTTCTTAGCGCTGCGTATGTTCCTTTTAAATTAAACTCCAATTATATAATTAACATGATATAATTATACCTTTTTCTTTGTGTTAATTATTTCATGAATGTTTTTTGGTGCAGGATTAGCTTTGGCATGTTGATATCTTTACCAATTGCATTGGTTTATTACATCTTATTGGGGCTTATTATAAAGTGACAAAATCAAATTAGCAATACCATGTTGATATCGAGAGTGATGCATGGTTATGTATTATGATTTTGTTCGTTTTTATGGTATGTAAGTTGGAGGGTCAGGACCCTTCATGGATTAACCAAGTCCAAATTAGTAGGCTAGATAATTTGGGAGAATGGAGAAAAAGGTAATTAAGGGATTCTCCCCCGTCCTCAAACCTCAAATCTCATGGTTATAAGGTGTCCGTTCTCCTTTCCACTAGATCAAGCTTAGTTTGGTGGTTATGGATTGAGAATTGGTGAACGGAGAATATTAAGGATCCGAAGAGACACATATAGATAAATGCCACAGATTGTACCCTGTATGTAAGACATATATTAGCTGCCAAATTTAACATTCCGATGTTGGTGATAAGTTTTGGCCAAAGAAGTTGCAAGAAGAGAAATTAAATTTGATAGCTATTTAGCTATAAGCTATTGATGATATGTGTGTATGTGTAATCATGTGTAATTTAATTATTCATTCAAAAGGTAAGCTTATTTCGTTCATATGAGTAATCTCAACTTATTATACAAATAAAATCAATTAAATAATAAAAAATAGCTCCATATTTGAGTAACCCATCTTGTTATAATTTAACTATTACAAAAATAATTTTCACTTGTTTTTTTTTTTTTTTTTTTTTTTTTATAAAAGTAATCTTGTTTTCCACTGGGGTGCCCCGTCCAACTGAAAATCCTTTTGTCGATTGCTGTAAGACTTGTAACCCCAATTAAAGAGTACCTAATTAGTGGCCACACCGCCGTGTAACTGACTGATCATATATAAAAATTTGTGTTTAAAAAATATCAATTTTTAATCAACAAAAATTAGTAATAACAAAGAGCAAAAAAGAAAAAGGAATAATAAAAACAAGTTTTAGTTAGGGAAAATCACTTTTGATATAATTAAGCTTCACTGAGTAAAGAACAGTTTTATCAAGTGTCAATTTTGTAATCAAAACCAAAAAAAAAAAAAAAAAAGGGAGGTATTAAATGCTGGTATAATTTTAACTAAATGCAGGATAATTTAATTTTTAACAAATTTTATATTTTCAATATTACCCTTGTTTTAATCTACCTTTTACCTATTAGCTTTTCGGTTTTTCTAACGTGACATTAAAAAAATAGATTCCCAATAAATATTTGATAATAAGGAGTACTTACAATCTTAAAAAGGTAGGTCTAATATGTCATATAGAAAATAATAGTCTTCCTTATTGCCTGTATATCACAAGATTTATCACGTTTTTTACTTAGCGTGTCGAGAAGAAGTCCATTGACCGCCTGCGATCGATACAGTTATCGCTTGACAGGATGTCCCCATTAGAGGTAAAGTGTTTAAATTAATTCTACTTTTATAGTTTGATGCTTTATTGTATGAATCTTACTAATTTTAAAAAATGTGCAGGTGAACTGGATGCCTTTCGGCCAGAACCCTAGTAATAGGGTACCCAGGACCCTCTTCACGGACTGATTCAGTATCGTGAGATCGTAGAGGTGTACATGCCGCAGCGCTGTCTTCGCCAGCTTGGATTTGTCCAAGTTGTTCCTCCTCCACCAGCATGGCCTAGTAAGGCGGTCCGATCTGCGTTGTCAAAGGAGTACGTCGTCCAATGGCCGGCAAACATGATTGCCACGTGGGAGCAGTTTCCTATGGCTGCCCGCATATGGATTGAGCAGCTGTTGCGGCCGCCAACTAGGGTGACTGCCATGTGTGACCAGCACTACATGGAGTGGTACAACCGGCACTCGCACCCGAGGTTGATCAGAGACCTCCACCACGGCGACGACGCCGATGATGATGATCTGCCACCGGCCACTACCGTGGATGCGGTACGTCTCATAAAACATTTGTTGTTGTGTTTTTTTTCATATAATACGTCGTTATTGAGTTTTATGTGTTTTGTTGTGTGTAGTGGATGGAAAAGATGACGCAGGTGGCACACAGAATTTTTGAAAAGAGAGACAGCATGACGGATGCATCAGGCAGAGTCGCGATTGATGATCTGAAACGGGCCCTTGAGTAGTGGCAGTGGGCGTCACAAAGGTATTACTGATCTGTGGGTAGTGCATTTATATAACATTTTGTACATTATCATAGTTGTTTGTAAAGGTTGACATTATCTTTTTAGTTTGTAATATTTGAAATTACTCCTATTCCGCCGTGGTTGTCGACCCCTTCAGGTTCCACGTGATCCAAGGACGACGTGTTGAACATGTCATGAAGTGCGTGGGTAGCACTACGAATGATTGAAGGGTGGCTGGAGGACACTTGGTCAAACATCGAACGAAACTGCTCCAATTCCTCCTGTTCACGGTGGACCGTCTGTGGAACAGCATGCTCTCTAATAACGAGCGTCCGCCAGAATGGATGAACCTGATCGACATGTAACGACGCCCTATCTTGCATAATTACGCGGTGAATGGTGCATGCACAAGGTAGTCCATGAGTCGCTGATATAGCACATCCGCACCGAATAGCCACTTCATCACCCAACTCCCTCATCCTGCTGTGCTCGCTCATAATCAACCCCAAGCAGTAGTGTGACGCACAACCATGGAGAATCTTAAATATGAAATGGCTATACATCATGCCATGTCGCCGTCTGGAGTCCTCGAGAGAGTTCTTGATGTCGTTCCTCTGAGTATCAATAACCTTGTTTATTCTCTCGAATAGTGTATCCAGAGCAGCCGTGGAAGAATCAATCCAGTCCTTCAAAGCTCTATGAGCGCTCTCAACTCTGCATGTTGTTGTGTTTCCAAAATGAAGAACTTGGTCTGTCCAATATTTGACAAACTTTTCCCTCTGAGGTATCCACTGCAGCATCACATAGTCTACGATTGTCGGGCACCATTGGTACGCATCCTTGAAGTTATCCAAGGCTCGATCGTACTCTGCTTCCGTGGTAGCTTGCAGGATCTTCCGCCACTTACCATTTACCAATCTCTCTGCTGAATCTAAATTCTTGTTGAAAAGGTTGTAGGCTTTGACTTTCACACAGTTGTTGATGTGCCATGTGCACAGTAAATGGCTTGTCTCCGGAAACAGCTCCGCCATAGGGGCAAAGAGACCTCCCTCACAATCACTGACGATGGCTGAACATTTGGGCCGATGTAATTCCTTAACTTCTCCAACACCCAATGGTAACTCGCAGCCGTCTCATCTTTCATGACTGCATAACCAATCAGAAAGTTCTGGTTCGTTGGAGCCATCCCAACCATCTCAACCAGTGGGAACTTGTACTTGTTTGTCTTGTACGTTGAATCGATCAAAATCACATATGGCCAAGACGAAATCATATCAGCATAATCAAGATGCACAAGGAACAAATGAGTCACCTCCGATGTGTCTTCATCAGATTCAAACCAGTATAGGTAACCACGTGCTTGTGCCTGGTGTAGAAGCTGCTGTATAGGGTTCCTTCCCTCTGACCGTTCAAACCTCAATTTCTGTCTGAAGTTGTAGATGTGTCTTCGGTTTGGCTGGTCTTCAGGAAATTTCTCTAACACAGATGCTAATATTTTAGCAGGCTTCACTTGAGCATCACTCATTTCTTTTACAACTAGTTTCGCAGCAGGACTTAGGCCGCTTAACTGTCGATGCCCCACTTCATATACTATCATCTTATGGTTGTGATACCCCCATTTACCGTAACCCTTCACTTCCCAACCTTCACGCCTTTGCTGTTGTCGAACCTTTACTCTGAACTGACACCCACAACCTTTCCGCTTTGTATCAAACCGAATCGCTTGACTGAAATCTCGTTCCTCCCTTTTGCGATAACGGCCGCATCTCAAAATGCAATCCATTCTACCATCCCGTTGAGATTTATGACTTGCTACTATTAAACAACAACCTGATCTAATTGCAACCTGTTTTGCCCAATCAATCGCTTGTTGAGCATCTTCGAACAGACCATCATGTACAAAAATGTCACTATAATCATTTCCGTCTCCACCATAATCCTGTAAGAATAACATATAAATATAATTACATAAGGATTAAAATAATACATTTGACACAAAATTAACACAAAAGCAATTTCTAAATTTTAAATTTCTAAATATCATTTCCATATTTAACGCATAATACATTTAATGTCTAAATTTAAACATAATTAACACAAAACTAACACGTAATGTCAAACTAAAACATACATTAACACATACATTTGATTATTTTGGAAATTTACACATAATTACACATAATTTACAAATATTTACACATAATTTTAAATTTACACATAATAACACATAATTTGCAAATTAAAACATACATTTGTTTATTTTGGAAATAATTAACACATATTAAAACATAATGTCAAACTAAACCATATTTATGTTTATTTTTTAAATTATTCAAATTAAATTTTGTTTTTTTAAAAAACAAAATAATTAACACACATTTAATTTCAAATTTAACAAAATTAAAAAAACAAAAAAAAAACACAAAAAAAACAAAGAAGCGCGGGGGCGCCATACCAGGGGCGGGCGCGCCACAAGCAAGCGCAGGCGCGGGCGCGCCACTTATGAGTGGCGTCTGGGCGGGACGCCATCACCGTGGCGGCGGCGTTTGGGCGGGACGCCGCTTCCATGGTGGCGGCGTCCAGGCGCCCCAGCCGTGGTTCTGGCCAGGCGCCACTGCCATGGGGTTGGCAGCCCTGCCAGGCGCCATCGCCACGGTGGCGGCGTCCTGGCCAGGCTCCCCACCCACGGCAGCGGCTTCCCGGCTTGACGTCGGCCTTCATTTCGTACTTTAAATAGGCTACGTACCTCGTTTTCTGGCGACGATGGCGGCTCTCCGGTGCATATCGCCGACGATGACGGCTCTTCGGTGTCCCATGGCGATCCAGTGCTGCTCCACATTTTTGGTGAGAGAAAATTTTGTTTTCGGTTAAAATTAGAATAAGGGTAAATTTGTCAAAATTTTACAAAATGTGGGCTTTAAGTAAAAAAATGCGGGCGATGAATAACAAGTCCCTT